TGTAAAGGGATCATAAAATTATATCCATTGGATAAATCGGCAAAAAATTTACATATACATGTTGCAATGCGTATTTTTAACGTGGATCGTACACATCCTACACTTTTCCATCATAGCATTCTTGCTGTTAATCGGAACACTCAAACGGATTGGTGTCAGATGAATCAAAAAGTTCAGACGAATGCAACAATGCAGCATGCTGCCATACAAGTAAAAAACTTGAAAAAAAATCTATTATGCAAATATTACAAAATGATAAAAATTACGATAAGGGCAATTTAAATTTCCTCATAACAGCAATGAAATTTGAGAGTAAAAATGATAAAATATTTGTTGTTTGTTGAATAAACACAAATTTTGATAATCATAATATTAATTTATATCGATTCGAAATTCATTTCTATTAATATAAGTAACATTGTATAAACTGTAGTATAGATTAGTAAAATATTAGTAATAACATCATTAATGAATGCATTTAAAAAATGGGAATTTCATAATTTATTTACTAAATTGAATGAATGATACAATAAGAGTTTTTGATGATTTTTGATTCACTTTTTAAAAAATTCGTATAAGAACTACTTATTATAAATGAATAATTAATTACTAGAACTGATTGCAATTCTTAACATTCATGAAGTAATCGGCTGAATAATTTCCTTTTTATTTTTTATTCATTTCCAATCACTTTCTAACTTTTCGACAAAGCATCAAAGATCGAAGAATAAGCAAACGCAGGTAAATGAAAGGACAAAACACGTCATAACGAAGGATGCAGCCGTTCAACTTTCTGCAAAAATCTCACAGCAACAATTGACGAAAGTAATTGCTGAAATTATTAGCCAACTTTTGTCTGCCAATGAAAAAAAACAGCAATTACAAAAAAATTCCGGTCTGTCATATTTTGAGTAATAACAATGATGATAATAATAATAGCAATAATAACAGTAATAATAATAGTAATAATAACAAATTTGTTTCTTATTAATGAAACAAATTTTTTAATTGACAATTTTTTCATTTTTTTTTTTGTTAAAAAAGGCACTACTCTTAATTACTGATATAAATAATTATCTGTTGTAGTTATTTCAACATTTCTTCATGTATTGCAATGTTATTTTCTGCAAACTTTTATCAACTATCTCCATCATATCTTTCTCACCACCATATTTCTCCGTTTTTTTTTTGAAAATAATTGAACAGGATAAAAATTTGATTACATTTCAAAATTCTATTCAATTCTAAGTTTTTTATTTAAACATAATGTTAGTCTTGAACACCGAGTATCATTATGTAATAATGAAATAAATGCTAAACTTTATTGCTATAATTTAACTATCTAATTCAATGACTGATTTTATCTCATTTATTTATCAGTAACCTGCAAATGTTGCCCCAAAATTATTTTTATTAATCAAATTTCAGGCAATAAGCTATCAATTATTGGTGAGAATTTATGTCAAATTAAATTCGGTAATCTAACCGGGAGAAAGATTAATTTGCCGAAGAAACCAATAAGGAGAAATGTGGAATATTTCAATGCAGCCCAGAAAAAAACAACATGTCAAAGGTCGCGTATATTGAAATTAGCTAATTTAAGCAATTATCCAAAACGGAACGTGGAAAGACTTTGTAACAAGCCGGCAATAGGATTAAATGAATTTCGAGATCAACGTTATTCAAATATTATTGGTAATCCATCGAATAGTTATAATGCTATCTGTCGAAGACAATTATTATATAAATTAGATCAATTAATTGCTCAAAAAATGATAACGCTACGAAAGATTCATATGTTAAAATCGGTTAATCAAAAGGATGCATTGAAAAATTCGAAACGGAAAATAGAACGATTTTGTCAAATGTCTGCCAATCGATTACATCGATTAAATAAACAACCGGTTGATATAAAATTACCATCCGCAAGTTTGTGTTGTTATTTTCCAATTATTCACATTTTATTGCAATTTTTATTTTACTTAATTATTTTAGTTATTTTACTTACCATACCATAAAAATTATGAATTTATTTAACAAGTTGTCTTCGCGGTAATTTTAATTTTGAATTTTTTTTTTGAAGAACTTTATGATTGAGGGAACAATAAAATGTATTATGTCATTAAATCCTTATACAATTTGTTTTTTTTTTAAATTTACTTTCAGACAATAATGCTGCTAGCATTTTGATGTTAAATAATAATTGGTTATTAACACAAATCAAAATTTAGCACAGAAATCGAATAACACTGATAGAAATAGCAGTTACACTAACAGTAGCAAATTAGCGTCACCAACAGCAACCAAAAGTGAATGTATTTCCAGTTCAACTGTTCGAAATTCGATTGAAAAATTAAAGAAGTAAAAAAATTTTCAAATTTTGTTAATTTCACTTTTAGAAATTGCTTTATTAAATTACAAACTTTCAATGAAATCTACTAACTTGAACATTGTCTTTTTTTTGTTTTATAATTTAAAAGAAACCCATTTTTAGCAAAATAAATCATACCAAGCCGACTCAAATGTCTAAGCTTATTTTTTTGCAATTGAACTTTTAGCGTCGCCGAAAGATGCAAGAATTCTAGCCACATAATCAGTGAGAGTGATGAGGAAAGGTCACCAGATAGTGATAGTGATAATGGTGATAATGGCAACAACGACGTTGATAACGGCAATAGCGTGCATTCAACAGCTCGTACAGTTAGCACCATCGAATTCTCAAGTGAAGCTTCAACCATTACTGAACTTCAATCTATCAAATGATTTTAGCTTCTTGAAGAAATTTCAAAGATCAATAAGAAAGTTTATTTCTAAATTTGCTTAATTTAAACCCGAAAAAAAAACAAAGTTTATTTGTTTATAAGGAATATTTTTTTCATCCATGCATTCGATATTATTGCCTATTGATTCCACATATGTTTTTTCTAATTATTAAAAGTTATGAGACTCTTTTTTGTAACATACAATAAATTATCATGAATACATTGCTTAATCATATATTATTTTTTCTTTTTTTCCTTCTTTCTTACTTCGTCTCCCTCTCTTCCCTTTTCCCTCCTTCTTTTCCCTTCCTTTTTCACCAGAGAGAATGAATTATTGTTTTTTTGACATGAAAAAGAATAAATCTTAAAATTTAAATCATTCAAATTATTATTTATTTGTTTGTTATCACTTATTTATTATTATTTATTTGTTCATCTGCTGTTACTATTGATTAATTAATTATTATTATTATTTCGATATGTTATTTACAAACTACATAAACATTTTACCATTACTTTTTTCATTATCATTTTTATATATATAAAAA